TAGGTCTGGACGCAATGCCTTCCAAATCCCTGAACCTGGAGACTTGGGAGCTTATCTTTTGCAGGTGAGAAAATTGAAGTCACCCTTCCCTTTTAGTATCTAGTGAAGGATTCTGGAAAGGCAGGGTTAGTTAGGGAAGGTATGTGGTTCTGGCTTTATTTAAATGACTTGCCCAAGGTCAGACCGTCAGAACTTAAATAGGATTGGGCAGCAGCAGCAACCATTTAGCAATCTTGGGCCTTTTGTCCCCCTTTATGGAGGTGAAATATCATAATTCAAGAGTCTCATTTTTGTTTTTCTTCCAGATTTCAGAAGAGCTCCCTAGAGGCAGGTGTTGACTGTGCCCTCCATTTAAACAAATGGACGAGCTAGGAAGCCCCTGGAAGTCACCATAAGCCTGCTCTATAGCAGGTCCTCGCTAAAGAAAGGGTAACAGCTGGGCACGGTGGCTCACACCTGTAATCCCAGCACTTTGGGAAGCTGAGGCACGTGGATCACCTGAGGTTAGGAGTTAGAGACCAGCCTGCCCAACATGGCAAAACCCTGTCTCTACTAAAAATACAAAAAATTAGCCAGGTGTGGTGGCGGGTGCCTGTAATCCCAGCTACTTGGGAGGCTGAGGCAGGAGAATTGCTTGAACCTGGGAGGCAGAGGTTGCAGTGAGCCGAGATCATGCCACTGCACCGCACTGTAGCCTGGGTGACAAGAGTGAAACTCTGTCTCAAAGAAAAAAAAAAAAAAAGAGAGAGCGAGAAACTCCTGAAGCCAAAAAGCCTTCAAACTTGAAGGAAGATCCCTCTTGCTAAGGAACAATTACTTGGCTTAGGCATCTAGATCGCTCTGTGTGTCTTGAGTATACATGAAGAGTATAACCCCCACCAACCACCCAGGATCATTCAGCAACCCTTCGTGTGAATTTGAGATTTGTTTTTTTTTTAAATATTGTAAGTTGTCTGGGTGTCCTTTCTGACCTTTTTCTTCTATGAAGTCCTGAATTTCTAACTTGCTTCGAAATTGCTGAATGTCACATTTTCCTGTTGTAGCTTTCTCTGAAATGCACAGGAGATGTCTGTAGGGTTGGCAAGCTCCTCCTCCCCACACTTCACTCCTATTCCACACGTGTACTTTCAGCATTTGAGAGCCTGTCTTCTCTCTTAGCTCCCTTAAAAACATTTGTAATATTTCCACTTTTTATGAAGTTAAAATGGTTTTATTTTCAATCCACTAAGTTAGAAGGATCATGTCTGTCCTTAACCTTTGCCAAATATTCTTAAAAATAATTTTTTTTTCCTTCGAAACTTCCATAATGCCATTCTTATAAATGCATGCCAAGCCTGTAGGTGGTTTTCTTCATCTGAACTTACTTTTCAAATATAGCAGTATGAGGCTTGGGGTAGGGGAAGCAGCATCATAAATGGAAGGGCTGGAAACTAGATTCAGGACATTGTTTAAAATAATCAGAATAAATACTTTCACTTATTTAACCTTCTACATATATTGTTTTGAATATCTATCATTGGCTGGGCATGGTGGCTCATACATGTAATCCCAGCACTTTGGGAGGCCAAGGAAGGAGGATCTCTTGAGGCAAGAAGTTTGAGACCAGCCTGGAAACACGGCAAAACCCTGTCTCTACTAAAATTAAAAGAAAATTAGGCAGATGTGGTGGCGTGTGCTGGTAGTCCCAGCTACTTGGGAGGCTGAGCCCAGGAAGTGGAGACTGCAGTGAGCCATGACTGTGCCACTGTACTCCAGCCTGGATGACAGAGTGAGACCTTGTTTTTTGTTTTTTTTAAAAAGAATAAAGAATATCTAGGGCCAGGCATGGTGGCTCACGCCTGTAATCCCAGCACTTTGGGAGGCCCAAGTGGATGGATCACCTGAGGCCAGGAGTTTGAGACCAGCCTAGCCAATATAGAGTGAAACCCCATCTCTACTGAAAATACAAAAATTAGCTGGGCATAGTGGTGCATGCCTGTAGTCCTAGCTACTAGGGAAGCTGAGGCAGGAGAGAATCCCTTGAACCTAGGAGGCAGAGGTTGCAGTTAGCTGAGATCGCGCCACTGCACTCCAGCCTGGGTGACAGAGTGAGACTCTGTCTCTCAAAAAAAAAAAATATATATATATATATAAAAATAAATATAATACATATGTATATGACATATCTATATCTATATATCTACTATTCTAGGCCCTTGTGATACAGCAGTGAACAAACAGACACACTTTTTGCCCTCAGGGAGCTTAAGTTCTAGTGGAAGGAGACAGATAACAAACCAAATCAATAATTTACATAGTGTATTAGAAAGCGATCTTTGCTTTGAAGAAAAATAAAGTAGATGCGGCATAGAGGGAGTGTTTTCCACAAGTTTAAAATCAGATGGCTTTTGAGCAAAGCACTAAAGGAGGTGAAAAAGGCTACGCTGACATCTTAAGCCCAGGAAACAAACAGCAAGTGCACAGTCTCGCAGGGGAAAATCCCTGGAGTGATGGAGAAACAGCTTGGAGAGAAATTAATTTGGCTTATTATCTGTCTCCTTCCACTAGGAGAACAGCAGGTGATGAGGTCCGAGAAGTAACGAGAGGTAGCAGACCTTTGAGCCTACTAGGATGATGTAGGTACTTTGGCTTTTTCTAGGATGAGATGGGAAGCCAGTGGAGGCGTTTCAGCCAAGGGAGATACAGAATCTCATGGACAAGATCACTTGCTGCTGGGTTAAGAAGGGAAAGGAGCAGGTGTCGAAGAGGGAAGATCAGTTAGGAGGCCACTGCAATCATTCCAGAAATTACTCATACCAGAAATTAATCAGAGACGTTTGACGCATTTATAAAAGCGGCGGGGGGGCGGGGGGCGGAATGTGCTTGTAGAATACAAAAGAGGTAGAGAAACATTAAACATTTTTAATGTTTTAAGTTTCAAGGAAAAGATCAATTTGACAGCTACTTTGCTACCTCGTCACCTCCAGGTGACGCTGGGAGTACTGGGGAGCTAGGTTTCCAGAACTTTTTGCTCTTGAGTGACCTATGACCCTAGCAGAGTTTGGCCAGTGTGATTAAGAATGAGCCTCTGTGGGTCTGCTTAGGATAGGATGCTTGCCGCCCTCCCACTTCCTTAACTTGCCTGGGTTCCTGTTGGGAATACAGATTCGGGGCCCTTCCCACTCTGTAAATATGGGAAAGGGTCTAGGAAGTATATACTTTTAGTAATAATATGTAGGGGTTCTATGACAGCAAATTTGGGGAACTGTCCCTCTGACCGCGCCATCCGTAACTTTCTGTACACCTTTCGGGGTATGCCGCGGACCTGGAAAGCGTTGCAGGGCGCTCCTGCGGCCCGCAGGTGGCGCCATGTGATCGCGAGCCGCAGAGAGCGCGTACCCTAGGAGTCTTGAGGCGCGAGGACTGCTGGTCGGCAGCTGTGCCGGGGCCACCGACGCCGCTTACCCCAGCGGAGCGCCGCGCACGTAGAGTTGGGGACAGCGGCCGGTGCCCCGGCTTTTTAGGCTGTGTGCATCCCAAGCCGCCTCTAGTTGGCTTCTCGGGCCTCCGGGGCAGGAGGGCGCTGCGGCTTTCTGCCCACGAACTGACAGCTGCAGAGCCAGCAAGCCAGTGCATCGGGAACCTGCCGCCTTGCGCCGCAGGACTTTAGTCCAAACCCGGCCGGTCCAGGCTCCCGGATCTACTACAGGGTCCCCCGGGGAGCGCGGGCCCCGGGGACGGCTCCTTCCCATTGGCAGCAGGACGGAGGCCACGCCCCTTTCCTACAACTCTCATCTTTGACTGGCTCTCGAGTCCCAGCTGGCCACGCCCCCTCCCTCGCACATACACAAGAGTCACGCGCCTTTCAGTTGGAAACTTGGCGTGCAGAGGGGGACGGTGGCTCTCATCGCCCCACCCATTTACCTTGCCATTGGTTCGCGGAACGGCACACGGTCACGCCCCCATTCCAGCCCCCTGGCTGGGAGGGCGGGCGCCCGCTTGTGATTGGCCAGTGGGCCTGCCTCTCGCGGGAGCAGCCGGCGCTCCTCTCCCTCCCTCTGTCCCCTCCCGCGAGCCTCGGGGTTCCTCAGCTGGCCGAGGTCGAGTCAGTGTCAGTCAGGGAGGCGAACTGCTGAGCACTGGCCGCGGACGCTCAGTTGCAGTCTCGCCCAGGGGCAGGTACCTGCGCTCGCGCCGCCGGGTGGAAAGGATGAAGCCGCAGCTGGAGCAGCCACCCTATGATTGGCTGTGGCGCTTGTGAACCCAAAGTAAAGATGGCGGGCGGGCAGGCAGCCGCCGCACTGCCCACTTGGAAGATGGCGCTCAGTTGCAGTCTCGCCCAGGGGCAGGTACCTGCGCTCGCGCCGCCGGGTGGAAAGGATGAAGCCGCAGCTGGAGCAGCCACCCTATGATTG